AAGACAACTCTGATACAGACGATCCCCCTTGCCATGATGTCAGACTGTCCAGCATCTTTTCTCTCTGTCTCTCTTTCCGCCTCCAACTATCCTACTGTCACGATGTACTCCTGTTTTCTCCGGGTTAGTCCCAACAATAACAGCTATTTGATGTTTGCTTAACGCTTTCAGACCCCACTTACTGATATGCCAGCCCTTGTCAAGTATTTGACGAATTAACGCCATTGTATTCTACTTGAGGGCTGAGTTTCATTTCAAGCAATTTATCAACTAATTAATCAACCAATCAAGCCAATCAGTCAACCAACAAACCAATCATTAAGTCAAGCAATTTAAAGAGAGAGAATCGACCTAATCGCACCGTGTTTAAGCTGATATGGCTTACTCTCTTTATGCAGAACAAAAAGCACAAAGAGCGGTCTCTATAGTTTCTGCGACGATCCCCCGTGAAACTGCTTGAAAATGTCCTTCTGAACGGACCGAAGCGTGTATACGAAAGCATAAGACAGGACGACTCGTCAAGAGTTGGTTGAGGACCTATGCTCCATCCGTTGAGTTGGTTGAGGACCTTTGCTCCATCCGATGAGTTGGTTGAGGACCTATGCTCCATCCGATGAGTTGGTTGAGGACCTATGCTCCATCAGATGAGTTGGTTGGGGACCTATGCTCCATCAGATGAGTTGGTTGATGACCTATGCTCCATCAGATGAGTTGTTTGAGGACCTATGCTCCATCAGATGAGTTGGTTGAGGACCTATGCTCCATCCAATGAGTTGGTTGATGACCTATGCTCCATCAGATGAGTTGTTTGAGGACCTATGCTCCATCCGATGAGTTGGTTGAGGACCTATGCTCCATCAGAAGATATGGTTGAGGACCTATGCTTCATCCGATGAGTTAGTTGAGGACCTATGCTCCATCCGATGAGTTGGTTGACGACCTATGCTCCATCCGATGAGTTGGTTGAGGACCTATGCTCCATCCAATGAGTTGGTTGAGGACCTATGTTCCATCCGATGAGTTGGTTGAGGACCTATGCTCCATCCAATGAGTTGGTTGAGGACCTATGCTCCATCCGATAAGTTGGTTGAGGACCTATGCTCCATCCGATGATTAGAAAAAAAAAAGCGACCGGCGCAGTTAATGAAACGTACCCAGGATCTCGAGAGTGCGACCTCGAAAAAAAAAAAAAATAAAACAACAACCAACAAACCAGTAAGTCACTCAGCCGATCTACAAACTAATCACCCCTTCACCCAACCAGCGAGCTATTCAATCAACTATACAGTGAGTCGATCGATCAAATAATCGATCAGTTAGTCAGGTGCCGTCTCCACAGTGAAGGTGCCATGGATCTCCTATACGCTTTGTCTCTTGTCATGATTGTACACTCTCCCAGACTGTTGTTCGTCCATCTCTTGATGTTGTCCTCCCATTTGTTGCCGACTTTTTGCTTTTTTGCCTTCAACCTTTCTATCCAGTATAGTGTTTAAAAGCGTGTTATGTCTTTTAATGTGGCCTAAGTATTTCAGGTGTCTCTTTTTTTTAATTTATTTCAGTAATTCTATTTTCATTTGTAGCCTTTTCAAAATCACTCTATTGGACTGTTTGCTTCCATGAAATATGACATATTCTTCTTATATGCGATCGATCAGGCAGTTTATCAACAAGTCAGTCAATTTATCAACCAACCAGTCAGCTAATCTACTAATCAACTAGTCGGTCAGTTTACTGACAGTCAGGCAATCAATGGATTAGTCATTCAATCAACCAACCAGTCGGCTAATCTACTAATCAACTAGTCGGTCAGTTTACTGACAGTCAGACAATCAATGGATTATTCATTCAATCAACCAACCAGTCGGCTAATCTACTAATCAACTAGTCAGTCAGTTTACTGACAGTCAGACAATCAATGGATTAGTCATTCAATCAACTAACCGGCCAGACCATCAACCCACCAGTCGGGCAACAATTAACCTATCAGTCAGTCTGAAGGCTTAATAACCAATGAATCTTTTATTTACCCAGTCAGACCATCAACCCACCAGTCGGGCAACAATTAACCTATCAGTCAGTCTGAAGGCTTACTAACCAATAAATCTTTTATTTACCCAGTCAGACCATCAACCCACCAGTCGGGCAACAAACAGTTAACCATTTAGTCAGCCAGCCAGCTAACCCCCTTCTAGTCAATCTTTCAATCAACCAAGGTCAGCTAAAAAAAACAAAAAAAAAAACTCAACCAGCAACCAACCAATCAGTCAAACACCTATTTAGTTAACCAACCAAGCAGTCAAACAACTATTTAGTTAACCAACCAACTAATCAAGTAATCAGGTAAACACAGTTCCAGCTTTATAGCAAACGTGTCATCCCATAGCTGCTCCGTTCCTTTGCCAACGAAAACCACACAGAATGTCTATCACTGTAGCCTGTTTAAAAAATAACACATAAAAACACGGCACAACACAGCCATCAGAAGTTCCAACACGTAGAGTCCGGTACTAGAAAGGCAATTCATCGTTGATGGAAGCAGCAGTTACAATAGATCAGTAGTTGCACACGCACTTAATTGCATAGGCTCCATCATTTCTCTGGTAATAGGTCACTGGCCATTTTCTGAATCTGCAGTTCACAATACAAACTACGTTGGGCACACTCGAAAAGCGTCCCGAATGAAATGCGCAGCTCACAGTGTTGCACCATGCATTTATCTTAGTGGCTGGGCTACGTAACTATATACTTTTAGTCTATATATGCAGGAAGATGAAACAGTTAACTATTGTCAGAAGCAAAAACTTGTCACGACTAAAAAATTGTAAACTAGCCTATCCGCCATATATTCATACAGCCAATCATCAATCATTTATTTGACCAATCAGTGAACCTATCAATCAACCAGCCAGTTACTCAGCCAATCAACCAGTCAATCTTTCAGTCAGCCGGAGTACTTAAATGAATCTTATCAGTAACTATTTTTTGCCAACACTATGCTATCAGTGCCAAACGTGGATACTTACATCCTCCAATAAACTTAAAATTGTGACAACAGAGATGAAATGCTTTAAAAGAACTGCAGGAGTTTCAAGGAAAGACAGAAGACGAAATCAGAAATCAGACGAATGCTAGGAATAAAGCCGGTCTTTCAAGACATCAAAGAACAACAAATTAAGTGGTTTGGACACCCAACAAGAATGCTCTGGATACTATCTGTCACAGCGAGTCACACTAAAACAGAGCTCATCAACGAATGTTACAACTTCCCCCGACCCTTCACTGATGTACAAGGTGGAAGAGAAGAAGAAGAAGAAGAAGAAGAAGAAGAAGAAGAAGAAGAAGAAGAAGAAGAAGAAGAAGAAGAAGAAGAAGAAGAAGAAGTGTGCTCGTCAACAAATCAGTCAGCTATCGACCGACCTGCCGATAAATAAACCAATCATTCAACCAATAATTAAAACCAAACAATTACTGATGCCATTATAGTTTGTTGCCCAGTCCATCGCTATAGTTTGAAAAAGACTGGTTGTTTTATAGATGTTATCTTCTGTTTTTAGTGTGGATCCTGAATATGCGAAACTGAAGCTCAGCGATTTGTCTATGATCTCCACTCTTGGCGTCGGTGGGTTTGGAAGAGTAGAACTGGTGAGTCAGATGACATATTTCTTGTTTTCCTTGGAGCACTAGTCTCGTTACAATTACGGCTGCACTGGTAAAAACAGGCAGTCATGTTTGATCGTTGTTGAAATTGTACTTCAGTTATAAAGGATTTACTTATTTGCTTCATTTATGTAATTGTTACTGTAGTATGCACCTGACGAGATGAGAGAAATATGCCAAGCAATAAATTGTGCAATCTATTGTTTGTGTCAAATTTACAATTAAATGTACGGTCTTCTCGTTTCCTTTATTGTTTGCTTTCTCTCACAAACTAGTGCGGTAATAAATTGTTGAACTGTTTTTTCAAGTTTTCAACTAAAGTGTTGACTTGCATAAACCAGTCACCTTCCATTTTAATAGTTTTGACCATCATAGCGAAAGCTCTATCACAGTTGTTGTCCTAAAATCTTGCTCTGGCGATCAAACCAACCGCCTTTTCTCAAAAAATCTTTTCATTCACTATGTTGGCCCACTACTACCACCACCACCACCACCACCACCACCACCACCACCACCACCACCACCACCACCACCACCACCACCACCACCACCACCACCACTACTACTGCTGCTACTACTACTAACTACTACTAACTATTACTCCTGTTATTGTCGCTCTTTCTCTCTCGTGGTCTTCCCTTGCTCTATGTTCATTAATTTCTTTAGCGTAGCTCTCTATAGCAGTTGATACCAGGGCATTCTCGTCAGATGGCCAAACCATCTCATTTAATGTTCTTTAATGAATTGTAAGACTGATTTAAGTCCTAGTCTTCTTTTAATTTATTCATTCTTGATTTTATCTCTTCTTGTCACACTGGCAGCTATTCTAAGGCATCTTATCTCTGTTGTTACGATCTTTCGCTCATTAGTTGTAGTAAGGGTCCATGTTTAGCACCTGTAGCACAATGTCGGCCAAAAATACCGTTCTTATGAGATTTGATTTGGTTGAAAGCGGTATCTTTCTATGAGTCAGAAGCGGTATTAATTGTCCTCGCACATTGTATGTTGATTTTTATATTCGCTCTTCCGTCTGAGGTGAAAAATTACCCTAGATATTTAAATCAAGTAATAACTACCTAGTGTAACTCCCCTGCTGCGGATCCCAGTCTTCAGAAAGCACCGTTAACCTTCTCACAATGTTCGTGTCCTCAGGTACAGATCAACAACGACGACAGCCGAGCCTATGCTCTAAAGATCCTCAAGAAGCATCACATTGTAGAGACCCGGCAGCAGGAACACATCATGAACGAGAAGAAAATCATGATAGAGGCTCGCTCGGATTTTATCGTCAGGTAAGAGAGACAGCAGGTCAGAGCCTAGGGTTGGGATAATTTGATGTATACATGAGATTTTTTTTTAACGTAGACTTCTAGTAATTTCCCCTGGTCTCCGGATAGTAAGATCGGACGCCCCATGTATTGTTGCGCACGTAAATAAATCCCTTGCCCGTTGGAAATCTAAAAGAGTAGTCTAACGGCACTGCCAGGGCAAAATTTAGAGTTAAAAATCTACCCAAAGTATTTCAGGATCCTCGCCGGTGCAACGGAGTTCGTGCACTGCGCTGAGATACTTCAGCCTCAGGCTTGAGTCAGAAGTACAACAGACTTATGGGTTACTACCCTTGTGCTATAATGTTGATCTGTTCTTTAAACCCTACACTTAAACCTTAATGTATACATTGTGTCCCGGTTTTGCGGGTGCGTGGGTTTGTTTGAATTTGGAGTTCAGTATGAATGAGTGTATTGTTCTCTTCAATTCTGAAGTTAAGAATGAGTAGGTGCATTGATCTTTTCAAGTCTAGAGTTTTTTTTTTTTAATGATTGGGTTAATTGATCTACATGGTTCTGGAGTTATTTGGGGAACTGGCGAGCAGGGATACATTCATGAAAGGCCAAGAAGCACAACCGCTGGTATCAGTAGTTATAAGTAAAAAGAGATAGCGATACGCAGGGCACATTCTAAGAAGAAAACCACACACACACACACACACAGAGAGAGAGAGAGAGAGAGAGAGAGAGAGAGAGAGAGAAAAGATAGAAGACAATTACCATAACAGTCACTGAAATGAGAAACAAATGGACTGATAATTTATTAATTAATTTGTGAAATGTTCTTAAGTCGAATAGGTCATAAGTCAAGGAAATAGTGTATTAATAATGATAACTATTATTACTAATTGAATTTTTTTTAATTACGCAAGTAAAAAAAGGGATTTGGGCTTCTTAAGGCCCTCCCGCACCAATAGAATTACAAATCGGGCTGAATGCCGCCCTTCAATACTTTCGTTGTATCAGCGCGCCTGGCTGAGTTGTCATTCGATACATAGAACCACTGTCGGTTTAGTGACTTATCTTACCTCCTACACTCTCTACATTCTGTATGACATATTTAGTTGCTGCATACACGATAATTGTGCGTGGAAATACACGCCGTATATGGATCTTCTTTTCGTGATAAATATACTATTATCGGTTGCTTTTCTAATGGTAAAAGGGTGACAGCTCAACGGTCTGGTCTCTCTCTCTCTCTCTCTCTCTCTCTCTCTCTCTCTCTCTCTCTCTCTCTCTCTCTCTCTCTCTCTGCCCTCTATCATTCTGTCTGTCTCTGTCTCTCAGTGTTCACCAGCAGTAAACTCCTGGGGAAAGTTCTGGTTGTTCGTCTACTTCAGGACTTTGGTCTTCTTCAAGAACTTGAGTATTGTGTGAATATCCAGTTATCCAGTTTTCAGATCTGACTGGCTGGTTCCTTGCTTCTCGTGCAGAAGCACTCAATCTTCAGAAGAAACACTCCTCACTCTGTAGTCACCTTTTATGACATGCTTGTTGGGGGAGGAAAGAGGGGGGAGGAGGTGGCAGCGGGTTTGTTGTTCGGTTAACTTGCTACCATGTTCTCAACATGTCTAATGTGGCGACCCGTTAATACAGTTCCTCATGTTGTGGCGACCCTTTAATACAGTTCCTCGTGTTGTGGCGACCCTTGGATACAGTTCCTCATGTTGTGGCGACACTTGTATACAGTTCCTCATGTTGTGGTGACCCTTGAATAAGTTCTTCATGTTGTGGCGACCCTTGGATACAGTTCCTCATGTTGTGGCGACCCTTGGATACAGTTCCTCATGTTGTGGCGACCCTTTAATACAGTTCCTCATGTTGTGGCGACCCTTGGATACAGTTCCTCATATTGTGGCGACACTTGGATACAGTTCCTCATGTTGTGGTGACCCTTGAATAAGTTCTTCATGTTGTGGCGACCCTTGGATACAGTTCCTCATGTTGTGGCGACCCTTGGATACAGTTCCTCATGTTGTGGCGACCCTTTAATACAGTTCCTCATGTTGTGGTGACCCTTCGATACAGTTACTCATGTTGTGGCGACCCTTGGATACAGTTCCTCATGTTGTGGTGACCCTTGGATACAGTTCCTCATGTTGTGGCGACCATTTAATACAGTTCCTTGTGTTGTGGCGACCCTATGATACATTTCCTCATGTTGTGGTGACCCTTGGATACAGTTCCTCATGTTGTGGCGACCCTTGGATACAGTTCCTCGTGTTGTGGCGACCCTTAGATACAGTTCCTCGTGTTGTAGCGACCCTTTAATACATGTTTTGGTGACCCTTGGATACAGTTCCTCATTTTGTGGCGACCCTTGGATACAGTTCCTCATGTTGTGGCGTCCTTTTGATACAGTTCCTCATGTTGTGGCGACCCTTTAATACAGTTCCTCGTGTTGTGGCGACCCTTGGATACAGTTCCTCATGTTGTGGTGACCCTTGGATACAGTTCCTCATGTTGTGGTGATCCTTGGATACAGTTCCTCATGTTGTGGCGACCCTTTAATACCGTTCCTTATGTTGTGGCGAACCTTTGATACAGTTCCTCATGTTGTGGTGACCCTTAGATACAATTCCTCATGTTTTGGCGAGCCTTGGATACAGTTCCTCATGTTGTGGTGACCCTTTGATATAGTTCTTTATGTTGTGGCGACCCCTAAACATTAAATTATTGTCGTTACTATTTCATAACTATGTTTTATGATGGTCTTAAACCACCCATGTGAAAGCGTCGTTCGACCACAAAAAACACCATAACCCGGTGCAAAAAAATGGGGGTGGGGGGGGGGGGCATTAGACTTCTTGAATTCTCTTCTACTCCCTCCCCCACCCCCTCCAGAAATAGTATGAAGGTCAAGTTACCTACGATCTATGTTTAGTTCTGTTTTTACGTATTTGTTTAAACTTTTCATATTATTTCTTCTTCTTCTTCTTCTTCTTCTTCTTCTTCTTCTTCTTCTTCTTCTTCTTCTTCTTCTTCTTCTTCTTCTTCTTCTTCTTCTTCTTCTTCTTCTTCTTCTTCTTCTTCTTCTTCTTCTCTTCTTCTTCTTCTTTTTTTCATTTTCTTTCTTCTCTTCTTCTTCTCTTCTTCTTCTTCTTCTTCTTCTTCTTCTCTCTTCTTCTCTTCTTCTTTCTTCTTCTTCTTCTTCTTCTTCTTCTCTTATTCTTCTTCTTCTTCTTCTTCTTTCTTCTTCTTCTTCTTCTTCTTCTCCTTCTTCTTCTTCTTCTCCCTGCTCTTTTCTCTTTCTTAGCTTCTGGTTGTTCGTCCACTTCTGGACTTTAATCTTGTTCGAGAAGATAATCTTTGCGTGCAGGTCGATATTACAGACCTAGCTTATTTGTATGCCGACTGTTGGTTCCTGTCAGGCAGGTGCACTGCTACGTTGAAAGAAAACCCCTTAACTAGTCGCCCTAATACAGTAGTAGGCTTCTTAGGGGGCAGTTGTTGTATCCCCCACCGCCACCCCCCCCCATAACTTCTATACATGTTGGGGTTTTAAGAAAGGGGACCGGGGGGGGGGGAGGTTGGGGGGAGACACAATTTAACCCTCCTACACATTTTTTCTCTTTTGGAAAAGGAAAGGGGGGGGGGGTGAGGGTGGGAGCGCTAGATCTGCCCGAGCAGCGCAGTAGATAATATCACTTGTGTCATCCAGTGATCCGCTTTAGATCAAGTGCAAACACGGTAACAGCAAAGACAATTTCGAATGTCACGGCAACTTTCTCTGGAATCGTTTTTGTCACGCATCATTGATTTTGAGATACTTTAAACAAAACAATTTTCGAACCTCTCAAAACGCTCCTGTGGCCTTTTATGAAACGCTAACCATTTAAGTTTTTCTAGGTGATGTGTGTGTGTGTTTGTGTGTGTGTGTGTCTTGGGGGGCGGGGGTGTGTGTGAAGGGTAGGGGAGGGGATACATGGGTATTTGGCTCAGTGTCTACACAGGATGCAGCAGACGGACGCATGAAATCATGTAGAGATTGCGGGAAAATGTCAAAGACTAGCTGGAGGAATTATAATTCTAAACTTGGCTACATGAAATGGGTACTTGGGCCAGAAAATGGCGTGTGTTTCTAAAAGAGAGGAAGACGGGAAAGATACGAATAGACAGCGATTAAGTGAATGCCTTGCGTTAAGAGTGCCTTGGACTCAGAGGCGCCAGAGTCTGTAGGGGGGGGGGGGGGGTTTCAGGTACCACCCTTTTAAGGAGGTAAAGCACACCACCCCCTCACCCCCCCCCCCCCGAAAATTTGCAAAGACGCTGGGTGCTTTCCTCCTCATTAATGAATAGATGTTCTTTGGAAAAAAAACAACAACGAAAAAATAGATATTTTTCAGATATATTATTATACTTATTTGCCACTCAGGAGGCACGTAATAAAATTAACAATAATTATTATTATTGCGTACTTGAACAAGACTCAGGTCAGAAGCAGATCGTGGATTTTCTGTCCCGGATATTCGGGTGTGCTAGGTAATGAGCAAGCTGATAGACTGGCTGCTGCAGTACTTCAGGATGGTAAGCTACCTTATGATAAAATGGACGTGGTGAAGACTCTGGGTTCAAGCTGACATTGCAAAAGAACAGACCGAGAATCTATACCTTGAAAGACTAATTCAGCAGGGGGGGGGGGAGGGGTGGGGTTGGGAAAAGGACGGGCGGAGCAAAGCTTCTGGAAAGGGCAACCATAGGCGGAGTTTGTAATTTGCTGACAACTGGTACTATTAGCACGCCGACTCTTCGTTGAGAACTGAAGAAGGAGACGGAGCACGTATGTGAATGTCCCGCGTGCTAGGATGCCACTTTTTGACTCATGCATGCATTCAGTAATTCACTTAAACAAGGCTTAAACCCCTCCATTGCGCAACCCCCGCTCCCTTTTCTAGAAAATTATAATGGGGCTGAGAGGCCAACTGTGGTTTCTTTTTCGACGCTACTGCATGGAGTAGTAGATGCTTGAAGTGTCTTGGGAAGGATACTTGTAATAAAACTTCTTTTGTTCGTATTCTAGAGTTTCTTTTCTCACAGTCTGGCCATTATACGTTGCTATCAACAGGGGCGCTGACATAAAGAAAACAATGTGGGCAGGGTGCTTACCCCACCGTATCATTTTGTAGAATATAATAAAATATTTGAAATATTATGAAATGTTAAACAGGTGCTCTGAAAGAGAATGTTTATACCTTCTCAGAGCATGAGCCGCTAGGTTCCTTCAACCCTGGCTATCAATTTTAATAGCAAAATCAAAAGAAACAAAACCGTAAATATATTGTAGATAGAAATATTAATAGACATGGATATAGCAAGAGGCTGCAAGACACAATTCTCGACAACGTTCTATTATTGTGTGGAAAGATTCCGCTTATGAATCGGTTCATTTGGCTGGAGATTACTAGGTGCAGAGAAGCATGATCGCTCAAGCCAATTGGCAAGTCGTTTGATGGATGTTTGTAATGATTATAGTGGTTGTGAAAATGATACATGCAAGAACAAGGGGGTGGCTGTGGGGGGGGGGGGGGGAGGAGAAAGAGAAAAAGAAAGAGAGAGAGAGAAAGAGAGAGAGAGCGTATATGAGATATGAGAGTGTGTATATAAATCTCCTTGTATGAGATATGAGAGTACGTAAATAAATCTCCTTGTAGGAGATATGAGAGTGTGTATATAAATTTCCTTGTATGAGCTATGACAGTAGCTATATAAATCTCCTTGTATGAGATATGAGAGTGTGTATATAAATATCCTTGAATAAGATATAAGAGTGTGTATATAAATCTTGTATGAGATATGAGGGTGTGTATATAAATCTCTTTGTATGAGATATGAGAGAGTTTATATATCTCTCCTTGTATGAGATACGACAGTACGTATATAAATCTCCTTGTATGAGATATGAACATAGAAAGAGGCTGCAAAACACAATTTTTGACAACTTTCTGTTATTATATGAGATATGAATGTTGAATGTTGAATTAAGAATCGACATCACAGCAATCGGGACATTCCCATAAGCGCTCCGTCTCCATATTCAGCAGCAAGCGCAGAGTTAAAATTCCGATGGTACCAGTAACAGTCTGACTGTATATCCATCTCGAACCTCCCCCTTGTTTCGAGCCTCGACCAGATCCCCTTGTGCCGTTCTCCTCAGACCGTAATGATCTAATTGTTCCTCGGCACTGTCCACTCGCTCCCAAAGGGCCCCACAACATCCAGCTTGTCATATATCAGTTCACCACTAAGTGGTGCAGAACCGGCCAGTGTATCCGCCTGCTCATTTCCCAACACACCGGCGTGACCTGGAGAAAATATCCAAAGGACGCTAACTACCCGAGACCTCTGAAGTGATGCCTGCCACTCTGCACGGAGCATGCCTGTCTCCACCTTTCTCAGCATGCTCTGTGAGTCAGTTACAATGACGACAGGTGTGTATAGCTGATTCTCAAGCCAGCGGAAGGCAGCAGTGGCTGCCTCCACCCCCATTCTCAAACAAGACGTTGTGATATCATATGCCAGGCTTTGCTGCGCCAAGCGACGTCCATTCGCCTTCGCTATGAACCCCCATTATATGAGATATGAAAGGATGTATATAAACATTCATTGGTTAGATATAAGAAAACCAATAGAATTCTCAGTGTATGAGAAATGAGAGGACGTATAGAAATCTTCTCTATGAAACAATGAGATCACTTTAAGAAATCGCATGTAGTGTGTTTCAAAACTCATGCCGTCAAAAATATCAACTATCCGGAACACTCATGTACGGATCAGCATGAATTTTTACATGTGGCCTTTGATTTCCAATGTCCTTACGATTATGTAATTTACAACTGCGCAGATGCTGCTGTTTTCTTAAAGCAGCAAGAATTTCTTTGATCTTTGTTTAACTAATAATTTATGTACCCCTTAAAAATATAATCCAGGCACACGTGTGGAGATTGTATGGGAATCACTTCACATCTGCAGCGGTGAGTGGTGATTATTTTGATAGCCTATTCTCCACTCAATGAAAAATCCTCAGCTCATGGGAGACTTATGCGGGAGATGACCACCTGAGAGTAAAATGCATGTGACTGAGAGCAGTTTTATGTTTTCAAAAGTTCCCCTTACTCAGTTTACTCGAATTTCTGTGGTTCTTTCGTGATATCCTACCTCAGTCGACGTCACAGGACTGTCCAACATTTTAGAGGGTGGTAAGACCGGGTTTCCCCACTTTCTGATGATTTTAACGAACCAAAAACATATAGAACTGGCCTTAACCCCAACCCACCCACGTCCCACGAGAGAGTGCAGCCTAGATCCCACGACTGCATGCAGCCTAGGTCCCATGACTGCATGCAGCCTATCTATCATCCCCTAAAATATTAGACTATTATGTGACCTGCGGATTTCCCCTGTTTAGGGTAGGATATTAAAGCACCATTGCTGTAAGCATGCTGATTATTTGCTTTGAATCAGTGTCTGATTTTTTCATATACTGAAAAAAAAAATGCTTATAAGGACATTATTATTAACAGGCTGCGTGTCAAATTTCAACAATTCACACCGAACGGTTGCCGAGTTACAGATTTTTAAAGTTCGGCAGGACTTTAAAACGTACTGTAGTGTGAGATTATGTGATAACTTGCAGGGGTCTCTTTGCGTTAGGTATCACAGGCCATATAAATCACCTTGTGGGAGATAGAGGAAAACTTGTGAAAATCTCAGTGTGCATAATTCTTCCCGTGTCTACAAAACTAACCGCATTTCTAGTGTCGAACTGTTTGTGTTGGCAGGTCTGACGGCTTGTTGCCTTATCCTTTTCAATACGTTTGTTTGTGTTGTGGGCTTTGCCAGGACTACAGTCTGTGGAGTTGTCAATTTTTTTTTTCTACAAGGGGCACTTATAGACATGCTGTGTAGGGTTTTTTGTTTGTTGGCAAGGAAACGAGCAAATATCTGGGTGACCCATTTGCTATGAAGTTGGAACTGCCATTAATTACTTGATTACCTAACACACCTAACCAGATGTGGTTAACAAGAAAATTTTGTTTTACCATCAGGTTATACAAGACATTCAAGGACAGGAAGTTTCTGTACATGCTCTTGGAGTCTTGTCTAGGAGGTGAGCTCTGGACTGTACTCAGAGACAAGTAAGTGTTGGCCTGGTTCATTTACAGTTTGACGCTTTAGATCAGTGATTCTCGAATTTGTTTCAAGAACCTTTTATGTAAGTTGATTCTTCTTCTTCTTCTTCTTCTTCTTCTTCTTTGTTCACCAGCTACAAACTCCAGCGGAAAGTCCTGGTTGTTCATCTATTTGGACTTTGGCTTTGTGCCAGGACCTGAGTTTGGCTTGCACATCCATTTTACTGACTTATTTGTGTGCAGCTGGTTGTTCCTTTCCGTTTAGGCAAACGCACTCCTGCTTCAAAGGAAGTCCCCAACTTGTCGACTCCTACGACATGCTTGATTCAACCCAAAAGCGCTCCGTTCTGCATCAATATCTTCTGACCCTGATAATCTGTACCTATGCAATGTTTACTCGCTCCCACAGGACCCTTACAATATCTAGCTTGTCATCCAACAGTTTCTAACTGCCAAGGGATTTTTTAATGTGCGCAGCAATACACATGGGCGTCCGATCTTACTACAAGAGACCTGTGGAAATTACTAGAAGTCCATGTGAAAAAAATCCCTGCCTTCACCCGGGCTTGAACCTGGGACTTCCAACACTTGAGGCAGACTCCATGCCTCAAGACCACGCAGCCCCCACAGAGACAGAGGCAGGCTAGAAAGAACCGTGTGGCGACCTACTACTGCCACTTCCATCTGTAGTCCGCACTAGTCAAGAAATTGTCGAGCTCAAATTGGACTCATTGGCCATCTGTGTACTCACAGTATTAGTCATTTCTACTTGTGGATGCTAAGTGATCTCCATCATTTGCGGGGGATGAACAACAGTCTCCCATAGATCTCTTTTTGGTGTGTGTTTTCAACAGGGGATCCTTTGATGACAACACCACCCGCTTCTATACGGCTTGTGTGGTGGAAGCCTTTGTCTACCTTCACAGTCGCGGGATAGTCTATCGGGATCTCAAACCAGAGAACCTGTTACTGGATACTGCAGGATACATCAAACTGGTCTGTGTGTGTTTTTTGTTTTTTAAAATCCATTTAGTTTGTTCATCATCCTCAGTCAGTAGGTCATTCACAGAACGCCACTCTCAGATATAAATAGAATAGAAATGTCTAGACAACCGCAGAGAGAAAAAGAATAGAAATGTCTAGACAACCGCAGAGAGAAATAGAATAGAAATGTCTAGACAACCGCAGAGAGAAATAAAATAGAAATGTCTAGACAACCGTAGAGAGAAATAGAATAGAAATGTCTAGACAACCGTAGAGAGAAAAAGAATAGAAATGTCTACACAACCGCAGAGAGAAATAGAATAGAAATGTCTAGACAACCATAGAGAGAAATAGAATAGAAATGTCTAGACAACCGTAGAGAGAAATAGAATAGAAATGTCTAGACAACCGCAGAGAGAAATAGAATAGAAATGTCTAGACAACCATAGAGAGAAGTAGAATAGAAATGTCTACACAACCGCAGAGAGAAATAGAATAGAAATGTCTAGACAACCGTAGAGAGAAATAGAATAGAAATGTCTAGACAACCGTAGAGAGAAGTAGAATAGAAATGTCTAGACAACCGCAGAGAGAAATAGAATATAAATGTCTAGACAACCGTAGAGAGAAATAGAATAGAAATGTCTAGACAACCGTAGAGAGAAGTAGAATAGAAATGTCTAGACAACCGCAGAGAGAAATAGAATAGAAATGTCTAGACAACCATAGAGAGAAGTAGAATAGAAATGTCTAGACAACCATAGAGAGATATAGAATAGAAATGTCTAGACAACCGCAGAGAGAAGTAGAATAGAAATGTCTAGACAACCATAGAGAGAAGTAGAATAGAAATGTCTAGACAACCACAGAGAGAAGTAGAATAGAAATGTCTAGACAACCGTAGAAATAAATAGAATAGAAATGTCTAGACAATCGCAGAGAGAAATAGAATAGAAATGTCTAGACAACCGTAGAGAGAAATAGAATAGAAATGTCTAAACAACGGCAGAATATGGTAGACAAGGTAAGGAAGCTGGGTGAGGAAACAGGTTTTATGGTCAATAGGTAGAAAAAGGCAGCGGTATTCTAGGGTTCATTAAATAATATGTTTGAGACGAGGCTCTGAACATCACAATAAATTGTAATAATGTAAAGAGAGAGAGAATTCACTGAAATGTCTTGTCTTGACAGGAGCCTGTCATTCAAGTACCATGTGGAAAAGGTAATGTTATAAAGATAAGGAAAGGACTCAATGCGTTAAAGGTGATGGCAGGCATCAGCAGACATGGAACAGATAATGCTCTACATACTCTACCAACAACCTATTATTTCAGTGAAGTCAGCTCAATTAACGACACTTTCTGGTGGCCATTTTAGGCTGATTTGCCCTAGAAGCCCTGATTAATAATTGTTCTTTTAAAACCACCTTTTTTTTAAATTTGTTTTTTTAAAAGTTTTTTCCCTCCTTCAAGATTGCAGTCTGTAGGATTAACATTTCAAGGGTGAGAATCCAAATCCTGGAAACCTGTTCAAGGGTATAACCATATAGCACAGTTACACCGAGGAACCACAAACTAATGAGAAAGTAAACCTGCAGTCCAGGTGTGGATTCAAAACCAAGATCTTTGCGCTGGCAGGCAGGCATCCAGCCACTGCCCTAGTGGGGCTCCCAAACCGTGGTCATTTAAACATAACCATAATTTTGCTTCTTCTTCCTCTTCTTCTTCTCGTTTACCAGCTGTAAACTCTGGCAGAAAGTTCGGGTTGTTCTTCCACTTCTGGACTGCAGTCCTGTTCCATAAGCTGAGTGTTGCGTCTGCATCCGTTTTACAGATCTGACTTATCTGTATGCAGACTACTAGTTCATTTGCCTCTCAGGCAGATGCACTCTGACTTCAATAAAAGCTGCCAATAAGTCGACTCTTACGACATGCTTTTGGGTAGGCAGTGTGTCTTCTCTTGTTTTCCCTATATTAGGGTCCCCAGAACTCACAGATGGAATTATTTTGCCTAATTCTAAAATTTCTTATCACTTTGACAAACATTTTTTGTAGTGTACATTTTCATTCTTTTTTTGTTTTGTTTTTTTGTTATGTAAAATTTCAATCAAAACTTACTGCAGGTTGATTTCGGCTTCGCTAAACGAATAGGACATGGGAGGAAAACATGGACTTTCTGTGGGACACCTGAGTATGTGGCTCCAGAAATAATCCTTAACAAAGGACACGATGTCTCCGCAGACTACTGGTCTCTGGGCATTCTCATGTTTGAACTGCTAACTGGAAGGTAAACTGTTGTTGGCCAAAGAGTGCCATTTGCACTTTTTGCAAATGCCTTCATATCTATTGACTGCTGGCAAAAATATGCACTAAGTGGGGCTAAAAGTATGTAAATCTGTACATTCTAGTGCAGCCTAGGGGTAATAATGTTTACAAGAGCTCCCTAGGTGGGTTTCCATTTTGGGTGAGGGGTGGGAAAGAATAGATCCATTGCCCCTTTATAAGCATATTATGAAAGGCAACTAATTAGTTGGGGGGGGGGGGGTATATTCTTTGAAGGTAGTATGCATCTGCTTGAGAGGTGATGAACCAACAGTTTGCATACAAATAAGCCAAGTTTGTAAAATGGATGTGCACACAACACTCATGTTCTGAAATGTGTACAGTCCAGAATCTACATTCAAAAAGGCCAGATTTGTAGGAATTTACAGCTGTTTAATGTCAAGAAGAAGGAAAGAATATTGAACTTATAGGTTCTTGGTCTCTTAAGGCCCTTTTCTGAACAAGGGACAGAATCAGTAGAGAAACAAGATTATTATGGCCTGGAGAGAATGAGGCACCTGGGTGTAACCAGATGGTCTAGCCGGCTCACTACACTCAGAGGAAAGGTAAGACAGACATATAACTAGATTGTGACCGGTACCATCAGTATTGGAACTCTGCACTGGCTGCTGAAGATGAGGATGAAGCACACATGGGAATGCCCCGAGTGCTGTGATATCAATTCTCGACTCAACTCAACTCTTAATATTTTACTAATGAATCTTCTTCTTCTGTTTTTCTTTTCTCCACTTCTGAAATGTCTTGCAGTGCCAGGGCAGGAAGAAATTTCTGGAACAAACCCTTTTGTTCATTTTGTATAAATACTTGTTGGTATCTATGATATTTTCATGGTGTATCTTCTGCATGGTTGCCTCTGGCTCTGTTACCGCTGTATCTGTATAACACTGCTCTTTGTGGTGCCCTGTCTGTTAATTATTGAATCAACAGATAAAATCACTAATTTTAACACTTATAAACCAGCAGGTTAGTTTCCTTAGTTTGTCACTAATGACTTAACAGATAAGATTGAATAAAATGTTCACTGTTGGATCAACAGACAAGATTATACAAATATGGACAATATTGGACCAAGAGATAAGATTAATTATCCTTTCAGTCATAAACCAACTGTTAAGATTTGCTACATTTAAAATTTACTAACAAACAAACAGACAATATTTACTAATATTGTCACAAAACATTTATTGCCATTTTATTGTCATGCATACATTTTATGTCACAGCCCACCTTTTGCTGGTCCTGACCCTATGAAAACGTACAACTTGATCCTCAAGGGCATCGATGCAGTGGACATTCCAAGAAAACTTACCAAAAATGCTGTTAATCTTGTAAAGAAGTTATGTCGGTAAGTGAAGTGTTTTTTTAATATTTGCCACAGTAAGGAGAGGAATTACATATACATTCTGATTTAAATGTTTGTTTTTAATCTTTTACTGGTTTGTGTATTTTCAAATAGTTCATTATATCTAACTCTTTTAGCTTAGGAGGTTGCAGAGTGGATTCATGAAACAGAGAAAAGAAACACTATAAAAACAACGCATGATTTGCTTTACTGCATTGAATGTTAATTTCTTCATCCAATTTGCCATCTTTGATGAATTTTGTTGCCAGATATTTACTCAGATACCTGTTTAATACTTTGTACTCTACTACTACATTTGTTGACATTGCTTTTCCTTTTCTTTTCTTCTCATAATATTTGTTTGATGTTCTTAATTCATTGTTGTGAGATGCTGTTGCAATTTTATGGCTGCGTCAAGCGTCAAGCCTGGGTATCTGCAAAAGGTAGTTTACAAATGCTGTGCATCTGGGACTTGGCATCTTTGCTTATACTATCATTGTAGGTAATAAATAGAAGTAGTGATAAAATACAACCCTGTCTTACTACAAGATGCCACTGTGAATGATTTAGCTTTGGACTATTCAGCTACGTTTACTCAAGTGCTAACATTCTTGAAATGGGGATCTTCAGGTGCCAGAGGCAAGAGCTCCAGCATAGAAAGATTAATAATACAATACAAGCTGCAATGATCCGCAGGCCACTTGCCAGGTTAATTATGGATCAGATTTGGCCTGCTGGCCACTAGTTGTATAAATGATTGACGTTCAACCCCACCAGGACATCACACCATGCGATAAACACACGTGACACAAAACGCCACCATTCAGATGGGTATCACCAGGGGACAGGTCCTAGAAACCCTGTTCAACCGTTGTTAGGTAGTGGTATGGCCCCCAAACACAGCCAGGGTGGGGCTTTAAATCAACAAAAAAATTGGTTTAGATGTTCCCTGATTATTTTTCAGGAGCCAAATAAGTGAATACAAAAGTCACACACGCTATATTTCTTTTTTTTTGTGTGTGTGTGTCTAAAGTTTGTGGCTTGGTATTGTATCTGGCCACTAGCCTATTCAATCTTCTCTTTGATTTTAACTTTCGAAGGAGTTTTATTGGCCACATTTTACATGTGAGTATGTTGGGTTTTCGTAATAGCTGGTGTTGCTGTTGCAGATACCTAATTAAAATTTCTAAGCAGGCTTTGAATATAAATGTTACAGACAGGTTCTAAGAATATCTTGGGTGAAGAAAAGAACAAATGCATCCATACTTCAAGAGCTGAATATTGAAGAGGGTTGGCTAGTAAAGACAATAAAACAAAGAAAATTGAAATATTTTGGTCACTTGAAACGTCATGGAAGTCTAGAGAGAACAATAATGGAGGGGTATATGCCTGGGAAGAGAGGAAGAGGAAGGCCAAGGAGAAGATGGGTGCAGGATGTGGCAGATGATCTCCAGATGGGTGTATCAGACGCAGGACATCTTGCTCAGGATAGGAAGGTTTTCCGGAGGGTTGTTATGGCAGCGAGGTTCCGCGAGGGACATGCTACTGAATGAATGAATGAAGCAGGCTGAACCAGTTAGCTGTGATTTGCCTTGTTGGACTGCCATAGAGGATGTAATTCTTCAAGTCAGAGGTGTAATCATACCTTTAGGTAAGAACCCAAAGGGGAATAATAGTTAGTTGAAAAATAAACCATACAATTTGGGTGGGATCTTTTATAGTATTTGAACAAAGAAGACACAAACAATTTCAACAACAATGACATGCGGGTGCCTGTTTTTACCAGGTCATAGCTGTGACAAAGGCCCTAGAATGGCTGAAGTCTCTAGGATTCATAAATGCATGCTTGCTCAGTGACTTGAGAGCATTAACAAAAGATCAAGGCGGTGTATATATGGAAACAGTGGATCCGTCTGATACAGCATGCAGTGATTAGCAAAATCACCTTTATTTTTGTCCCAGGTTATCCTGGTGTCAATGGCAAGGAGAGAGCAGATGCACTGGCTGGCAGTATGACTGTTAAGTATGGGCCATCTATGGACAGGAGAGACACTGTGTCATAAGAGAGAGTAAACATTGTAAGGCTTTCAGTTTCATAAAAGATGATTCTTCACTTAACAGACTGCATACCCTGGGTGTCCCAACTGGAGCGGTGAGACAAGAAAAAAATGTGGGTGCCACCCATCCTTACATCAACCAGAACAAAATGGGAATTGTTAGCCTAAAAACAGAGACATCCTAAGAAGGAAAGCAGAGCACTTTCAGTCATTTCCTATGTGCGATGATGATGATCTTTCACTGAACAATGCTAAGATGTGCTCCTTTGTTTGACAACTGTGACACTTTCTTTTCTCACAGGGATAACCCTACAGAAAGGCTGGGCTATGGCAGAGGTGGCATTAGAGAAATACAGAAACACATATGGTTTGACAGTTTCAACTGGGATGGTCTCAGAAACCGTACTTTAAAACCTCCAATTGTTCCAGTTGTAAGTTGATTTGTTCCTCCCCCCCTCCCCTATGTGTAAATGTTTTCTTCAAATACATGTTATCTGTAATGTTATGCTAGTAGATCTGTCCAGCCTATTCTGGTCCTGTCCTCCAATGCATGCAGCAGCCATCTCAATATCTCCATGCTCAAACTATGCAGTCGGAGTTGATTAGCATATCTTCTTTCTTTGACCCACCTGTACTTTCTGCATGCTTGGCCTCATTTAATGCACATTTCCAACAGGTGGTTCATCATTGTTGCCCTGGTGGTTCATCATTGTTGCCCTGGTGGTTCATCATGGTTGCCCTGGTGGTTCATCAGTGTTGCCCTAGTGGTTCATCAGTGTTGCCCTGGTGGTTCATCATGGTTGCCCTGGTGGTTCATCATGGTTGCCCTGGTGGTTCATCATTGTTGCCCTGGTGGTTCATCATTGTTGCCCTGGTGGTTCATCATGGTTGCCCTGGTGGTTCATCAGTGTTGCCCTAGTGGTTCATCATGGTTGCCCTGGTGGTTCATCATTGTTGTCCTGGTGGTTCATCATGGTTGCCCTGGTGGTTCATCAGTGTTGCCCTGGTGGTTCATCATGGTTGCCCTGGTGGTTCATCATGGTTGCCCTGGTGGTTCATCATTGTTGCCCTGGTGGTTCATCATTGTTGCCCTGGTGGTTCATCATTGTTGCCCTGGTGGTTCGTCATTGTTGTCCTGGTCTACCCAACCTTGAATCAGTTGACCACATCGCCCATCAAGGTCTATATGGGTCGATAAAAATATGTGTCTAGCCTCATTTGCCCAGTGAGCCACTGGCATGTAAAGGGACCTTTACTTTACTTTATACTACATTTGCAGATTAGAATTGAGTGGGTTAACAGTATGTGCTATTAGTTCGTATTCTGTTCACTCAATCACAATTCCAATATTGAAAAACAATAAGCAGCATTCTTACACCACAGATTTTAAACTCCAGGTGACACAATAGCCTGAAGAACATAGAAATAGGTCAGCAGAACGTTATTTTGGAACTCCATCAATGGGAAAAAACTATAAGGCTGTGGTGGTCTCAGTAGGATGTTTTGTGCAAAATGAACAAAAGGAAGCATGCAAAACGTGGAAAACAAGTGCACAATGGTTGTGTGTTTTTTTTTCCTGGAAAATTTCTTTCAATTTTTGGGGTGCATATTTTGTGAGAGAAAGTCAATAAATAAGTCACAAATGATTGTTTAAAAAGAAAAAAAAAAAAAAACTAAAGATGATAGCAACTTGAAAACCATTAATTTTTACACATACACTGTCCTTTTATTTTTCAACATAATTTCCACCAATATTGATGCACTTGTACCATCGTTTTTTCAGTCCTCCCAAACCTGCTGCATAGAACTGCGTGCTCTGTTTTATAAACCATATTTTTTCACTCCACATTCAACTTCTGCGTCATTTGCGAAATGTCTTCTACCAAGGTGGGTTTTTGGTGGACCAAAAAAGGTAGAAATTGATAGGGGCTAAGGTTGATGTTCCAGAAGTTCCCACTATAGATGGTTAATTTTCTCCTGAGTTAACCGAGCCGTATGTAGTATGGCATTATCATGACAGAACAGTACTCCTCCAGTCAGCAGGCCTAGACGTTTTCTTCGAATTGCATCATGAAGCATTGATAGAACTTTACAGTATGAATTAGCCTTCACATTGTCACTTTTTTTTAATTGGTTGAAAACACTCCTTGATAATATCAGAACACTGTTGAACCATGTGAGCACCCTATTGCAGCTGCTACAGAGTTAACCGTTACTCACCTGTCAACCCGAATCATCTCCTCCACCGGCTGCATGGATGCACCTGTTGCAATCTCAACAGGATAACCAAATCGAACAGTTTTAAAGCGTCCTTGAGAAATTGTTATTTACCTCGCTATGCACCACTTTATGGGATAAACATTTGTCAGCATAAACAGGAAGTATTTCCTTATAAATGTCCTTTACAGGCAACCCTTTTGCACATCCCCCTCCAGCCCCATACCCCCCCTTTCCACCCCCCCAAAAAAATGCACAACAACATGTTGTTCGTTGAGGGTACTCTCTGTAGATACAGTCACCATTTTATTTCTGTGTTGCAAATGCGCATGCAACACCTAGCGCCACCTAAAGAACGGAGACATGAAGTTCGATGTTGCTGTCACCTAATGACACCTTTAGAAACTGCCAGCTACATTTTCTTGCCATCCCATAACCATTTGTGACTTACTAACTGACTCCCCCTCGTACAAGAGAGTGTGGTATGCACCAACAAATATGGTATTGTTGACTTAGGTTTTCCATTTTTGGCAATAGACTTAATTTTTTCATATTTGAAGTCCGTCCAGTCAGTCAGATTTTGGATCCAGGTCTTTCTTGGCTTGCCTTGTCTCCTCTTCTCTGGTATTGAGCTTTTCAGAATTCTTTTGGAAAGGCCAGACGACTTCATTGCATGTTAACAAAAGTGCAATTTGAGTCTTCTTACTGTTGATTAAAGGGATTTGTAGTTGTTGAGTTGTTGAGGAATGATTTGGCATGTTATTATTTTTAAAATGGTTGTTTTATGATATGCCGGTACTACTCAAGATTCTGCCCACATGGCAAGAGTTTCTTTTCCTCCCATTCATTCTGCTGATCACTTAGCCTGTCCTATGTTGTGGGGGTGTTATGAGATGGCTTCATTCAGCGTTCCCTCGCTGTAATCATGTTTGTAGGAGGTTGTATTGTTGTGAGTCTTTCTGAGGTGCCAAAAGTGCCTGTGTACAAATTAGTAGTACTGCAGAGTGGAGCGCCGGCCGAAAGTGCGATGTTCGTCAGTATCGAAACTGGGCAGTTTTTGTATATCAACGTTCCTTGATGGTGGTTTCCCCCAGAAAATGAAGCCACTCACAAGGAATGTAGAAATACAAAACCATGACTCTTTTCATATTCATGAACCGTCGGGCAAGTAGCACAACATGGAAATAATCATGCAAGTGAGTGGTGACAACACGAGAAAAGAGACACAGTTAAACCATTTAAAATAAGGAATACATGACACCCCTAAAACATAGGACGGGCTGTGCGACCTGATACGGCATGAATGGGAGGGGAAGGAACTGTCATCGGGACAATTGTGAGTAATGAGTAGAACCACCAAAATCTTGTGGATCTAATTTCCAGTGCTTGTAATTTCCTTTTGGCTTCAGATCTATTTAATTACTTCCTGCAAATGAGAAACTAAGTGTTTTATCAATATCCTACCCCAAACAGGGGAAATCCACAGGTCACGGGACAGTCTAATATTTCAGGTGGTTGTAGTTAGGCTGCATGCAGTCGTGGGACCTAGGTTGCATGCACTCATGGGACCTAGGCTGCACTCTCTCGTGTGACGTAGGTGGGTTGGGTTTAGGGCTAGTTCTAGATGTTTTGGGGTTGTTGAAAGCATCAGAAAGCTGGGAAACCCAGTCTTACCACCCTCTAAAATGTTGGACTGTCTGTGGGGTCATTTCAGGTAGGATATTAATAAAGAACCAGAAACCCTTTACTGCTGTAGAATACGTCAGCACAAAATGAAACTGCATTGATTTTATTTACAAAACGTTTTTCCATTAATTTACCTTCTTTTGATTTCTTTTCTTCCATTAATTCCTCTTCTGAAGGTCAAATCTCCAATAGACACCTCCAACTTTGATGACTACCCTGAAGACGAAGATGAACCTCCCCCAGATGACCTCACCGGCTGGGATAAAGACTTTTGACGACTGCCCCTTGGATATTCTGGTCTGAGTGGGCAAACTGCTGTTAACATGTGATACATAAAGTGTTTAAACAATTGTTATTTTTCATTGTGTTCACCTTGTCACATTTTCTGATAGCTTCTGGCTTATGTAATGACATCAGTTTCAATTACAGTGAAATTTATGAGTTATTTATAACCTATAAAACACATATTCACCGTGGTCTAGCGGCTAGATGCTTGCCTTCAGATTGGAAGGTTGTGGGTTTAGTTCCTGATAGGAGCCTGATTTTTTTTCAAAAATGACCTTGGCTTCCAGGTCAACCCAGCCTTGAGTGGGTATCAGGTACAGTCCTGGGAAGTAAAGGTACCACATCACCCACCAGGTACTGTTTGGTTCTATAAAATGTAGATCTAGCTCTGTATACCCAGTAGGCCTGAAAGGCGTGGAAAAAGGTCCTTTACTTTACAAAAAAGCACATATTAGTTTATAGTATATAGGTGTGCCAATAAGTGTAAGTATACACTGGGCTAGATTTAGACTTGTGTAACATGTGCAGCTGCACAGTGAGGCAAAATTTTGAGGGCCACAAAATATTACTGGTATTAATAAAATGTTTATATTTTTTTTTGTTTTTATCATTGTAAAACCCACATTAGAGCATTCTTACATTAAATAGCGTAGTAGTAGCAATGCTAAAGTTTAGCTGAGAAAGGAGGTGGTGTAAAGTAAAGGACTGCACATTATCACGATTAGATTTAGACTTAATGAGGCCCTAATCTATATAAAGCCCTGAAGCCCCTATTGTTTTAAAAACACACGAGCTAATCTGAGGAAACTTTAAAATTTACAGGGTTTTTAAATATACAGAAAATGGAAATATACTGCCTTTAATTTTTAGTAAGAAAAAAAAAAAAACACGCACAAAACAATGTAACTGCAAAAAACACATACATTATATTATATAATTCTCTTCAAGGCTCCATTGGAAGAAAATTGTATTTGTGAATAAAAAAGAAGAATGTGTCAAGGCCGATGCAGATTCTGAGGCCTTAAATCCAGCACTGGGCATTATACATCCTAAATACTGCCCTGTATATACACATACATATGGTACAGTCATCAGTGTACTTATCTACCAGCTTAGTGCCTCCAGTTCAACACTCAGTAGTGTTCATATGGAATTTGGTATACTCACAACAGTTCAAGAGAAGATTCAATGTTATGTAATGGTTATGAGAAAAACCGCAGAAAAAAGTAAAGAAAGCTAG